AAAAGAGAATTGAGCTGGTTAATGACAAATTGCAACGTACCAATATATTATTATGGAATGAATGATGTAATACAGTAAATTTTTCGTATGTTGCTAAAGTTAGTACAACACGATTTAGAAAAAGTCCTAATATTAGACAGATAAAATGCCACGGCTAGACTATTACTCTAAATTCATAATGCACGCAATGGTTTTGGTAAGGACGGTCCAGTTAAGTAATAGTAGAGCTCCTCGTGAAAGAATTGAAGAGAAGAAGAGCATGATAAAGGACTAACCACACACATCAAGGCCGTGCCCGGATGTGGACGGGCCGTACTCCGTCAGGGGCTTAAAAAATATCCGCCCGTGTCTGGGTAGGCGCCGGCGTTCATATAAACGGGCACGGCTCGTCCACGTTCCGGTCACGGCGCTGATGTGTGTAGTTAGTTCGTAAACCGGCTCGACTGTCCGTACATGAGTCCCTGTCTACTGACCCGAGAGATAGGGTTTTCCGGAGAGACTATGAGCTCGACGGCAAGACCAGGGTACGGCGGGCGTCCGGGCCAAGCCCTGTGTAAGTCATATGCCTTCACGGGTGTCTCTGGCGGACCCGAACTTGGGTTTGTGGTTAGCTGCAGGGATGAACGCGTTCGTCTACGCTGGTAGCATATGCGGAGTCGTTACAGCTTCGCAGAGATATAGCGTCTCTTAGCGTATTCTATCGCTTGTACCACGGTGAGTGCTCTGAAGAGTTATTCAACCTTATCCTTTCCTCTCCTTTCCATCAGCGGACCACCCGTGCCGGACTGCGTTGCCACAGTTGGACGGTCAGTTCAATACCGTCCCGCACTAAAAAGTTTGGCAATTCGTTTTTATGCCGAACCATCAAATTGTGGAACCAACTCCCGGCGCATGTATTCCCTCCCCTCTATAACATCGGGTCCTTCAAACGTAGTGTGAAGAAGCATTTGGCCACACCGGCAAAATGATAGTGACGGAGTGAAGATATTTGTGTTTTCCATCCGTTACTCTCATCTCTGGACTGTATTCGCACTTTCCATCAGGCGCGGTGCAGTCATTTTGCGTAGTCACAATAAAAAAAAAAAAAAAAAATGTGGCTGGGGCATTCGTACCACGCGCAGCTACCGCGTCTTAGTAGTGGTCTAGGAGACGCCCAGGGCACGTGAGTTGCCCTTTAGGTCGGTAGTTATGTCTGGACATCGTCGAAGGACACTGGCATCTCCGGCACTAACCCAGAGAGCTAGTAGAGGATGAACTACACATCCTCCGGTCCCTTCGGCCGCCGTTCATTCGCCGTCGGGAAGTGAGCGTGCCTTACAGGTCTGCCACTAATGAGGAGATTTGGTAGTCGATTTAGAGTCGGCGACTCGGCGGTGGCAACTGTTAGTCGCGCTTTACGGCAAGCGAGCGTGCCTACAGCTCCGGCACCAATCTGGAAAATAGGAAGGTGCTGTACGTGCACCCGGGGCGACTCACTTAAGGCCCTAGCCTTACAGAGAACCGGAATGAAGTCCGTGCAAACGGGCTGATTCGGTGTTATGACCTGATTTAGATGGTATCTGTGCAGGTTCACTCGCGCAGGTCATAGTGCCCCTCCCGCATAACCAAGAGGTTGACAGGGAGGGGAACTATAAACAAAAGTTATGTAAACGAAAGATATGGGACTGTCCGTAAATGAACCATAGTTTTAAGCTATTTCATGTGAGTCACGTCTATTTTACTTTTAAAGCGCCGAAAAGTACTCCATCTGATGTTTTTATACTATTTAGTGGCATCTACTGCTAAAAATATTACCTGTAGCTGTATTTCATATCATCCCTTACTAATACCGTTAATTTTGCAAATTAACGGTATTAGTAAGGTGTAATTATGCAAAGTTCCTATTGAACACTAATGATTTTCGTGTGACAATTTCGAGGTACGTTTTGTGTTATTTTTCCATCGTGAAATTACATCCTCAATTATACTAAATATTTTTTACAAACTGATTGACTCATCACTTTCACTGTTATCCGTCAACCAAACCCATTTGAGTTTGTATAGACTCTTGAGTTTGAACTTAAGATTTAAATTCAACTCTATATCGTTTACTATAACAACGGTCCAAAATCAAATGTGCAAAGCTTGACGTGCTCGCGACTGTTCTATACACGAAAAGGACAGACTATTGACCTTTAGTTCTATGACACTTGAGTAAATATATCTGTATAAATTAATTTACTAATTATATAGCTAATTAAGCAATTTACATACTTAATTTTTTAAACTACACGTATCGCCTCCGTGGCGCAATTGGTTAGCGCGTTCGGCTGTTAACCGAAAGGTTGGTGGTTCGATTCCACCCGGGGGCGGTAATATTTTTATTTTTTATTTATTTATTAAGAAAACCAACGGCGTTACATAAAGTATTTTACGTAGTGTATAGACATCGAGTATATAACCAAAAATAGAGACGAAATGTCATTTAATTTGTTTGAAAACTATTCTGCCAAATTATTACGGTGACAACTGCTATTCGATTGGCGAGCCCGAATCCGAAAAATACAATTTTTTAATAATAATAATAATAATAATAAAATTTTTTATTTCTCACCACAATACAACAAAAATACAAGTGCTATTTATATATAACTATACTATAGATATTGTGGGAGACTGGTGCCTAAACTAGGCTCAGGGCCTGTATTTCAGGACACCAGGTCTCCACCCCTAGGGAGTTACTTTTACATATATTATTATAGTCTGTAGTGCGGTAACAATGAGAAAAACAAAAATACCAGTTTTAAGATTAATTAAATTTAGAAGAATGAAAGACAAAATTTTTTAAACATAAAGAGAAGGAAAAAACAGAGTTAGTAGAATTAGTCATTATTATGTTTTATATTATTAAGTGTTTCAGTGTGTGTGTGTGTGTGTGTGTGTGTGTGAATGTGTGTGTGTGAATGTGTGTATGAAGATCTGTAAGTATGTTTCAAATTCAGTATCTATAAACTAAACTGGAACAACCAGTAACCTTTCAGTCTCCTCATAGTTGAGTTCTTGCAACCACTCCGTTACTTTCATTTTGCAGGATTTTTTGTTTACAGAAAATAAGTTCAAAGTCCTATTGATATTATTATAAAGGTGCGCACCTAGAAAACAAAAGAATCGATTGGAAAACTGCTTAGAAAGACCATATGATCGGTCTACAGGATCAAAACGCCGCCCTCCAACATTTACTGAAGGGTAATACGTTAGCAGAGAGTGTTGATTCAGCATTGTGTGAAGAATGAAAAGCTGACGCACAGTTAATACCTTAGTTAACCTATACAATTCGGTTGTGGGATGACGATAGGGTAGAAAATTGGACACCTTAAGAATTGCTCTTTGGGTTCTTTCCAACTCAAGGAGATTTGTTTTTGTTGCACCACCCCAGGAGGTTATACAGTATGTCAATAATGATTGAACCAGCGCAAAATATACCGTTCTCCTGAGCCTTTCATCTGTCACATGTCTTAAGGTGCTGAAAACGTAAATTAGTTTCCGTAGCCTACTGTTCAAGGTATGTATATGAGAATCGAATCTAAGGTATCGGTCAATAACTATTCCTAAATATTTTAGATTCTCAACGTTTTGGAGTCGAGTGCAACGGCAACCAAGATTGTTCAGTTCAGTACACGAATGGGCCACGATACAATACGGAATCTGAGGAAGGGCAGATGATACTTTAGTTATGGAGAAAGTGATGCATTTAGTTTTGTCCGCGTTCAATGTTAATTTATTATTTAACAACCAATTTGAAACTAAATTAAATCCCGTTTGTGCCCTGGCAAAGACCTCTTGCCATGTCCCCGCACTAAATAGGAGAGCGGTGTCATCAGCAAAAGATATAATTTTCCCATGTGGAATTGGCAGCATACCCAGATCGTTAATGTAAACGAGAAAAAGTGTCGGTCCGAGCACACTTCCTTGTGGAACTCCGTAGGTGATATTACGTTCATCACTAACAAACTCATTCACCTTAACGCACTGGGTACGATCATTTGGGTTTTTAATTATAGGTTCAATGTTTAAAAGTACAGAAATCACTTAGTGTTATGTTTACTTTCAAACTTATTACAGTTCTGTATAGGTTCGTAAGGACAAAAAAGCGGGATGGTGATATACACTTCATGTAGCGCTGTCTCACAACAATTCATTTTAGGTCCCTAAACTGAATCGTAATAAGAGTTCATGGTAAGGCCCCAGATCTGAAAAGGGTCAGACAGTGCAACAAAAAACTTAAAAAGTTTGATTTTGGTGAATTGATTATGTTTTGTATACTTAAAAAGTTTGATTTTGGTGAATTGATTATGTTTTGTATAAAGTCATGAAACTTTAAAGTAATTGCTTATGATGTTAGTAATAATATGTAGTCCTTTGAGGCTGCTAGTATTCTTAAATAACTCTATACTGGTTCTAAAATGAAAAAAGCATCAACACGATAAAAGGAAGAACTACTGTTTCCTACAAAGAAGGGTAAAAAAAAAATTGCGCCTCCGGGTGGAATCGAACCACCAACCTTTCGGTTAACAGCCGAACGCGCTAACCAATTGCGCCACGAAGGCTATACGTGTCGTGTTTAAAATATATTACCTAAATAAGTTAATTATGTGTAATACGGTTAATTCAAGTATATTTATTTAGATGTTTTCACATAAGTGTGTTTGCTTATTACACATTGCTTCTTACCTAATTGCTAATTGTTTAATAGTAAATAAGTAGTAATAATAATGGTCAGCCTATAATATAGCTCTACTGTTGGGATCCGGCCTCCTCTTGTAATGAGAGAGCTTGGGCTTTAGTTCCCACGCAGATCGGGTACTTCACATACATCATTAAATAGCTTTGCAGACTTTATTTATTTTTATAATAACAAGTGACGTGACGAACAAGTCGTGCGCCAGCAGTTGCAGTGCCACTCAGAGCTTTAAATGGCGAAGATCTGAGGGGTATTCCCACTGCGCCCGTCACCCTGAGACTTAAGTTGACAAGTCTCATGTGCCTTCAAGGCCGTCTCATGGGACGTGGACGGGCCATGCTAGTTTCTATGAACTCCGGGCCCGTCTCGGTGGCAGCCGCGACACGGATATGTGTGAACGATAAACTCGTTCAAAATATACTCGCAAAATATGCGCAGCGATATTTTTTTGAGTCCCTGATGGAGGACGGCACGACCACGTCCCGGGCACGGCCTGATGTGTGTGGAACACAGTGATGTTGACATTAGGGGAAGTCCCCTAACGCCGGACGGCACCTAACGTCGGACACTCGTGCTATCTTGACATCTCGCAATGCGTTTGATCAAAAAACGGGTGAAAGGGGCGTCGGAGAACATAGCGATACAGGATCGCGAGACGTGTTTTGCCAGTGACGCGAGAGACCAAAGTGGAAGTAGTAGGTTTTTGCTTTTGGCAGGAATACACTGCGACACGTAAGATCAAAGTAAATATTACTGCTATGTTTTTGAGTTTAGGTGTTCATGGTAATTGTTATTATAGGTAGTGTTCCATAAGTATTAGAAGTTTGTAAAAATCGTAAATTTTTAAAGAACTTTTGTTACAAAATACGAAATTTTAGAAATTTTTAGTTCCCTAGTAGGTACCGGACAGTAAACGCATGTGTTTTTCTCATAAGTATTTATTTATATTTTATTTATATTTTTTATAATAATTGTTGTGTGTTGTTTAGAGGATAGAAGAACAGAGCGAACTCGAAATGGAAGATAGAAAAAGAAACGAAATTGGGATCAATCGTCACACGAAATTGCTGTTGAAGAAAAAGAGAATGAAAAAAATGTTAAGGACAAAAAAGAATTGGGCAGAAAGTTCAGAACAGCAACAAGAGAGGAAAGGAAGCAGATCAAAGGAGTAAATGCCAATGGACAGAGTGGATACAAACCAAAGAAAATGGAACAGTTAAACTCATACAAATAAATCTACATATGCGATCGGTGTACGATATTTTAAAGATGTCTGGCCCTGGGGGCTTGAAGTTAAGACTGTCTGGTAATAGGTGCCACTTGCAGTTACAGCCCTAAAGTTTGATTTATATTTTTAAGCATGTTTATGGAGAGATTGTATTTTTGACCATTCATTTTGATTATAAAATATGTTGACTTTTTGCATTTTCATTCCTAGAACCAGTTTCATTCCTAGAACCAGTGCTTTTTTAATGTCTTATAACCTTAAGTGTCCGCCACTAGGGGACTTCCGTCTACTGCTTGGCGACAGAAATAGGTAAGGTGGCAGCACTTTACTGGACGAATTCTTTCACAGAGACCTCTACTACTAATCGTTTTTTTTTTACGAAATTTGGACGTTAGAATATAGGCTTTCTTTCTTACCTTATTGAACATTTTACAGACCGGTGAAGAGCGTTACGTGCATCTAGGAATAGAGAAAGGAGGACGAACCGTACAAGAAACTAAGGCTAATTGGCTAGCGCTCTTAAAACGAATGATCCTGATTCAAAGTTAAAGGAATCCTTTGTTGAACTCGATCTCGCAAGTAACGCAGCTACAAAGTGAGTATTTCTTTTATAATCTTCCCACGGTAGCACGTTGAGATATACAAACTGGCGAAAAATTGTACTAACACAGACAAGTCGTGGTCTCAAAGCAGATATTTGCCTGTACTGAAAGTATAAAATAGGAAAATTAACGAAATTGGATGTGATAATACGCAACCTTGGTGTAATAACGCTATTTCTGCATAATGACATCTGCCCCCGTAGTATGCCGCCTCGATAATGCTATTATATCCACATTTACCTCTCAAATTCGAGTGATAAACTGGCATTTTAAAATTTTGTCACAATTTTTATGTCATCGCGACCGCCGAGACCAATGACTGCAAAAGATTAACACAGGGCCAAACATGGCTGCAAGGTCACAGCTGATTTTCAAACATTGTGACAGTTCTGCAAAGTAATTATATCAATGTGAAAATTGAGCGCGACAAACGAAATTAAAAGATATAATAAAAACAAACCAATTGATATCTCTATAAAATGAAAACATAGAAATAGGTGAGGAGAACATTTTTAATATATTTTTAATACAGTTCAATACATGACAGCAATTAGAAATACGTAAATAATAACCAGTAGAATGCAAAATAAGTAAAAATAAAAACTACGAAAACCCTACATTTTTTGTTCCATCCTTTTCGTGGCGATGATTAAACGACAAAGATAGTTATAAACGCAATTTCATACCGTTGTCCTTGTTTTTAAAAACGTGTAACAATAGTTTATTCATTGCTAAATAGGCAGACTTAGTTTCATCAACTGAAATAAATATTGTGACGGGCAGGTGTATCACCGCTGTAGCGAATGTCTTTTTAGCTGTTTAGTTTTATCATGGGGTATCAATTAATACAAATGAAGTGTAGCACATATTTAAAACTGTAAAAAAAAACTTACACATAAATAAAAAATGCGATGAATCTCGAAAATTTGAGTTATGTACTAAATAAGAAGTAGAAAATATAAAAAAAAGAATGCCAAGCTATTTAAACAACAATGTATTGGTGGAAACAGTAACTTGTCGTTCAAATAATTGAAATTTTTTATAAAAAAATCCTGACCTCAAAAGTTCGTGGAATTAGATCTGTTTGTCAAGTTTTATTGACATCGGTTACCGGAAAGTGCGCGAAACCGGATTGAACCCCTAATTTGTCACCCTTTGTGTTGGAATATTTTTTTCAAATTTAAATGGGACCAATACTGAGGTACCCTCTTTGCAACAAAACATGAAGCATGGAAATCGGTTCACAAATAATCGCGTAAGATACACACAAAACCAGTCGAATTAAGAAAATATTCCACCTCCAATGGTGGCAAACTAGGGGAGAATGACTTTTCGGACTGATTTTTTCAGTGCTGTTTTTTGATTTGTTAGTTTGTAATAAATTGTAGAGATGGCATTATTTTGAAGTTGTTCTCGAAAGTATGTAACATTTTATAAGATCAATGATTTTAGCACTAACTTTGACATTCAAATACTAACAGACACATTAGGCTTCTTTGCGATTTTATAATACAACAGAAGTTTCAAAGCACCTAAAAATTACATAAAAATTACCAATAATTAATTATTTGTAAAACTGTGTCATCCCTGATTTTTGATTTGAAGGGAGAGATTGCAAACATTTTTACTTCGAGTAGTCAATTCATAGTATCAGAAAACAACAAGTTTTCAGTTTGTTCCCAGAAATAATAAAGAACTTCCCTAATGATTCCAAATCTGCCAAACTCTGACATCTAACTTATCATGTTCTGCAGCAATGAAAATGAATAAAAATTAAATCTGCCCAATTGGCAGAAATCTGCCACAAATGGTCACACTGTTTTCAATATCAAAACGACATTGACATTGGCAAGAAGTCCCTTGTCAAAACGTTGTTTGCAACTTACATTATCTCTCATTTAAATATTGTGCGTTGTGTTCTTGCATCTATTCTAAAATACAATGTTTTACAATTTTTTAATTCCCGATTTTTTAAAATATATTGATAACTAGACATAAACTAAAACGCAAAATTATACTAGCAAAGTCCATGAACGGCTCTTCGTCGTTATTGGGGCAGCTTTCGCTATCTTTATTTACAAGAGTTGCGTGTTGTTCACATCCAGTCTCGTTAATTTCTCTATACCGAATCTAGACATTTTTTATGTTACCGAGTGACGGGACGAACAGTTGTGGACCTGGTGGTAAGCGACACGCCTGTCCATAACAGTTGCGATTCCACTCAAAGATTTAAATCACAAAGATCTGAGGGGCACTGCCAATGCGCCCGTCACCCTGAGACATAAGTTGACAAGTCCCATGTGCTTGTAACTTCACCAGCACCCTTACCCTTCAAAACCGGAATGCAGTAATGCACACATTACGGCTTGGCGGCAGAAATATGTAAGGTAGGCAGTACATGCTTAGACGAACTCTTTCATTTCACTCTACTACTACTAAATGACAATACAAGCTCCCAGTACATTTTCCAGATTGTGTATGTCAGTGTAAGATCGTGAGTCGGAGAATTGTCTTTAAAACTATAGCTAGTCCATCTCTATGCGTCTTATTTGGTTCCTTGAAAAGAACAACCAATAGCACTTCGTTGTTTTCACAAAGCGAATAGGTCAAATGTCAATAACAAGTTTCTATTGGTTGTTTAAACACAATTCCTCTCTCTCCACTTTGTCGATAAAAATCGAGCTTTGGCTGTAAGCAATTCGCCTTAGTTATGACACAGCTATCATAAAGCAATGGACACAATAATGGTGGCCATTTTTGTGAGTGGATAATAATTTAAAAGATTATAAAGATTATAAGCTGACCTCGTGATGTTAAAAATGTGTATAAATATGAGAGTTCACTTTAATTTGGTAAATGTGCTGGCAATTTAATTAATAAATTATTACATCTGTTTTCTGTACTAATTAATAGAAATATTCAAATTTAATACTTTATCTTTTGCTAAATCGGTTTGCCTCAGATAATAAGAATTTCTGTAAACCGACTGTTGAACTTTTAACTCTCTAGCACTATTTACTAATTTCAAAGCGGGTAACTTTTGTATTTTCCCTGTACGTATATACAGAGTGAAAAATAACTGAAAAAAAAATATTTTAATTTTTTTGCTCTCTATAGGGTATTTGACAGATATGGATACGAGCATGAAATAATGGCCATATTATGTCAAAATAGAATTGTAATTCGTTCTATAATAAAACAGTTACAGGCATTTGCAAATAAGTTAGAAAGACGCGGTAATTCATATTTCTGATGGCACAGCCATGATTGCACCACATAAGCTACCAATAATTGCTTTTGCTTAAAGGTTTGGTAAAGGGATCCTTGGTTTACAGATACCTCTGGTAATTAAGATATCGAAATACAGAATTTCAGGTATTTTTCTGTGTTTTAATTTCTTATTTTTTTTAATTTATGTTGATTGGACCAATAAAAAAAAATTCTGCAACCATCCAATCTAAATCAAATACCCTAATGCCAGGAAGTACATAGTAAAATCGTGAATTTAGATTACCTCAGAGGATTTGTGTTTGAAGGGCAGCGGGCGTAGTTTGTTACAGTGCATTTTAAAAATGTTTTAACCGATTCAATGCTAGCTTTTTTTTGTAACAAACTACACTTAAAGGGCGCAGCAGTAGCCAATTTGTTTTTGATGTCCAAATATTATTATAGTTCCGATTTCACGTGTTGGAATACTCGAATCAGATTTATTTACACCCTATTATATGCAAGGTGTTTGGGAGATGGATCGACAACATTTTTTGGGAGTCTGGGGGATCATTTGCTAGCTTTTACTCTTTGAGCCCAAGTCCTAAGTGTCACGGTAATATACATAAGATTTTTTAATTTTTTTAAATAATTTCACAAAATCTCGTCTTTACATCGTAATAGCTTGTGTCTTTGTAGATATAATAGCACCAAATAAATTTTATTGTAATTTGTAATGTACTGTTATTCTAAATAAATTATAATTTCAAATAAATATTCTCAAAAAAATTACTTGTGATTCATTTAAACTAAAAGTAATTTTTTTTTGAAATTACCATTATTTTAAAAACTTTTCTATTTAATGCTCTTTCCAACGATATACTACATGTCATAAAAACTATTCGACACGTGGTCAAAATAAGAGATATTACAAAAAAGGTCCGTGTTAACCAAATGATGAATTACGTGATCAAAATAAGAAAT